GGGGGGGGGGTTCATTATAGGGCACGTGCGCTTGCCAGACAGAGAGAGACAGAGAGAAAGAAAGCGAGAAATCACCCCCCCAGGGGGGATGGTCACGCCGCAATCCCTTCTCCTCCATTCTCTTCTCGGGATCTTGGGCACACACGCACATGCGCCCAGCGTGAGTTTTAAGCCACCGGGTCTGGGACACGAACCACGGTCAATTATGTGGGAGTCCAGCGACATAGCCATTACGCTAACTGCTGGTCCCTCCTTTTAAAGTATTTTTGATGAAGTTTGAAAGTAGGGAAGCCCAAAGACCCTCTAACCAGACCCATTACCCCAATTCAGAGTTTAACAATGAATAAAGTTTTGTTCAACTCACCATGTTTTCTAATAGCAAGAAATTAGAAATAATCTAAACGTGTATTCATAGGAGATCATTTATAGACATATGTTAGAATAGTATCAGACTATTAAAAATGATAATGTAGAGCCATCTTTGATGTGAAAAGATGTTAATGGTACTTGAAAATGCAAATTATAAACATAGATTGTAGGTTAGAAAACAGTATGTATAATTTTTGTTTTTCTCTAAAATGATACCTCTATTCAGTCTAAATGCAATAAATATTTGTGATTTAGAAAGAAAAAACAAATAATACAAATGTGTAGAAAGCAAACTTTTTCCTGGTCTACCCTCACTTCCATAATCCAGAAAACCATTTTTGACATTTGTGGTAGCTTTCCAAAATTTGATAATTATTAAAAGAATCATATTTTTCTTTCTCTTTTTATTTTTTTATTTTTTTGAGAGACAGATTTTTGCTATATGGCATGTGCACTCACCGAAGAGACAGACAGAAAGCAAGAAATTACCCCCCCCACACACACACCGAATGGCCATGCGGCAGTCCCTTCTCCTCCGTTCTCCTTTCAGGATTTTGGGGACGCATGCACATGCGCCTGGCATGAGTTTTAAGCCACTGGGTCTGGGACTGGAACTGTGGTCGACCAAGTGGGAGTCCAGCGATGTAACCGCTATGCCATCTGCTGGCTCCAGAATCTTATTTCTAAAATTGTTCTGGCATCTTTTATTCCCACTCTACAGTGTATCATACATACTATTTAAATGTTCCAAAGCATTTTTTTTTTAATTGTGTTTATTTAAATGTATTCACAAATACCTCTGGAAAGAGAATTATAAAATGGGCAGTGGGTGTTTTTTGGGTGGTGAGATTACAGGAGACTTCACTTTGTTTTTAATACTTCATTGCTTTTTATCTCTCTTTTTTTTTTTAAGAATTATTTTTATTGGGAACCAGCAGTTAGCGTAATGGCTATGTCGCTGGACTCCCACGTAGTCGACCGTGGTTCGTGTCCCGGACCTGGTGGCTTAAAACTCACGCCGGGTGCGTGTGCGTGTGTGCCCAAGATCCCGAGAGGAGAATGGATGAGAAGGGATTGCGGCGTGACCATCCCCCCTGGGGGGGTGATTTCTCGCTTTCTGTCTCTATGTCTCTCTCTGTCTGTCTGGCGAGCGCACGTGCCCTACAGTGAAAATCTCTCCAAAAAAAAAAAAAAAGAATTATTTTTATTTATCTTTATTTTAATTTTACCAGACAGGACAGAGAGAGGGAGGGAAAGTGAGAAAACAAGCCACCATGTCTGGGACTCAAACCACAGTTGGCTTTATGGGAGTCTAGCACCCATAACCACTACGCCACCTGCTGGCCCTGCTTTTTATTTTTTAAATGATGAGAATTAGAAGAAATAAGAGCAAGGAAGATCCCTACGTGAATGTTGGAGGGATAACGTCAGACTTCCCTTCCCCACGCGCACATTTTCTCATATATTCTCACTGGAGAATTCTTTTTTTCTTTTTTTTTCATAGCTGTGCTGGCACCCAAACAAGGAAGGTTGCCTCGCTTTTGGAACTGATGATGGGAAAGTGGGATTGTACGACACCTACTCCAACAAGTAAGGAAGGGCTGATTCCTGTTTAGCCCATTGACCACAATGTCAGTGATGGATTTAATTTTGAATTCATAAATCTGGATGTACTTGAAAACTGCATGGAAGGCTTCTAGAATAACATTCTGGCTCTGAATCTGAGGTTCAGAACTTGGACTTTTATTTTAAAACTATTCCAGGTCATGGTAGTTCAGCTCATCTGATATTTGGGCACCACTAAAATAATGTTTACATTAGTTTTCACAAAGTTTTCAGGCATGCATGAAAGTTGAGAGACTAATACACAAAAAAATCTGTGTATCTTCTAACTAAATTCACCAGTTAACATTTTTGCCATACCTCTTTTATCTGTGTGTGCGCATCCATGTGTGTGTTTTATCTGAAACGTGAACCTAAGCTGCAGCAATCGTGACACTTAAAATTCTTAAGAATAAAGACATCCTCCTGTGTAGCCATAATGTCCTAACCATACTTAAGAGCATTAACAGTAATTAATATGACCCCATATTCAGTTCATACACAGATTTCCTTAGCTAAGCCAAAAATATTTTTACTAACTTCTTTTTCCAAATTAAATTAGGGGTGTTTGTTGTTTTTTTAGAGAGAAATTTTTGCTATGTGGCATGTGTGCTCACTGGAGGGACAGAGACAGAGAGTGAGAAATCACTCTCTGGGGGGATGGCCATGCCACAATGCTTTCTCCGATCTTAGGATCTGGGGCACACACGCACACATGTGACGTTAGTTTCAGGCCACCAGGTCCTGGACTTGAACCGCAGTCAGTTGTCGTGGGAGTCCAGGGACATAACCATATTGCCATCTGCTGGTCCCCAAAATTAGTTTTTTTCAAAGAATTATTTTATATAACTTTATGTATTAATTTTTAATTTGACCAGAGAGGAACAGAGCAAGAGAGTGATGGGGATGGGATGGGGAGGTGAGAAAGCAAGATGCTAGGTCCAGGACTCGAACCGCAGTGAACCATGTGGGAGTCCAGCGCCCTTTACCACCACACTACCTGCTGGCACCCCCCCCCCCAATTAGTTTTTAAATGGGGTTTGCACATTTTATTTTATGTCTCTACTCTAGACTGGTACTCCTCCCCCTTTGCTTTCTATAACATCATTTTTTCAGTTCAAGTTATGAAACAATGTGTCGGGTGGGAGTCTTTAACCTGAAACACTGTTTCATAGACTTCACAGTTTGAACTTATTGTCTAGTTACACCTTGTGATAACTTTTTTTTGAGGGGGGGTTGAGAGAGACAGAGACAGAAAGCGAGAAATCACCTCCCAAGGGGATGGCCACACTGCAATCCCTTCTCCATTCTCTCAGGATCTTGGACACGCACGCACACGCGCCCAACGTGAGTTTAAGCCACCGGGTCCGGGACTCAACTACATGGGAGTCCAGCGACATAGCCATTACTCCAACTGCTGGTCCTGATAACCTTTAACTCATTTCTGTAGTGCATTGGTTTCCTGTAAGCTAGAAATTATGTCTAGAGCTACAACAGTCTTTACCACAGGTGACTAACTACTGAGCTCTTTTTTTTAGAATTAATTCATTTAATTTTATTATTGTTACCATTTTTTAATTTGACCAGAGAGAGAAAGTGAGAAAGCAAGCTGCCAGATCCAGGACTGGAACCATGCTCAGCCATGTGGGAGTCCAGTGTCTTAATCTCCACCCCACTTGCCGGCCCCACTACTGAGTTCTTAAAAGGTGTCCAAATCGAGATGTGCTGTAAGTTTAAAATACACATGAGAATTCAAAGTCTTAGTATTTAAAAAATAAGGGCCAGCAGGTGACATGGTGGTTAAGGCACTGGACTCCCACATGGCTGACCGTGTTTCAAGTCCCAGACCTGGCAGCTTGTTTCTCACTTTCTCTCTCCTTCTGGTGAATGTGCGTGTCCCATAGCAAATTTAAAATAATAATGAATAAAATTAAATAATTCTCTTAAAATATATATAATCTTATTTAATTTTATTTTTTATTTATTTATTTTTTTTAATTTAGACAGAGAAAGTGAGGAAACTAGCTGCCAGATCCAGGACTCAAACTATGGTCAGCCAAGTGGGAGTTCAGTGCCTTAATCACCATGCCACCTACTGGCTCCTAAATATCTTGTTAATATTTTATTTTGGTTATAAACTAAATATTCAGATTAACATTGGGAAAGTGGGTTTTTTTGTTTTTGTTTTGTTTGGTTTTTTGGGTTTTTTTTTTAGTGTGCTGTACAGCATGCAAACTATGGAGAGAGACAGAGACGGAGAGGAGGAGAGAGAGAGTGAGAAAGCACCCCCCTGGGGGTGATGACCATGCCACAATCTTCTCTCCTTCACTCTCCTCTTCAGATTCTGGGGCATGCACACACACACACATGCCCAGTACCAGGTTCAGGACTCAGACTCCACGGTTGGCCACATGAGATCTGGCTGCCTTAACAACCACACCACCTGTGTGGCCTAGAAAGGTTACATAGTAGGAGGTCAGATATTACTACAGGTGTATTGTTAGGCATTCAGCTAAAACTTGTTTTTTTAAAGAGATTTTTGCTATCAGGTACAGGTGTGTGCACTCACCAGCAAGAGAGAGAGATGGAAAGCGAGAAATTACCCACCAGGAGGATGCCTTCTTCAATTGCTCCTTTCAGGTTTTAGGCCACATTTACACACCTCTGTTTTTCAAGCCACTGGGTCCAGGGTCCTAGTCATGTAGCCAGCCATGTGTGATCCAGCCTCCCAACCATCACATTCCCAGCTAGTCCCATAACATATTTTGCCTAGGCAGAATATGTTTCAGATTTAATCTTTCTAGTAGTGGATGCCATTAGAAATTATTCTACTTAAGCTTTTACATCCTTTATAGTCAACCATTTGGACAGTTACTATTTTCATTAATATCAGCAACTTAGATTATAAAAGGGACCTATTAGAAAAGATGGTCTGTTTTCCACTGCCTTTTTGTTTTAAATCTTTGTCTGTTCTCCCTCCCTCCCCGTGCCAAAAGGCCTCCGCAGATTTCTAGCACGTATCATAAGAAGACAGTGTACACTTTAGCTTGGGGGCCGCCAGTACCCCCGATGTCACTTGGTAAGTATCTGAGCCGTTCTATAACCGATATGAGGGCATTCTTTCTCTTTCATTTAGTCCTAGGCTATGAAAGCTGCAAAGACTGCAAATGGTCTGGTGCAGGGGCCACTTACGTGGGATGTTATGTCCACAGGGGCCTGTGAAGGCAGTGACAGGTGATAAATGGAGTTGCTGGGAAGAGCCATTCGCTCATAATAAGCCTTCCGACTCTCAAGTGTTGTTCTTTTCTTTTTGAGCTGAAATTTTTCATCATATATATATCTTATGCTGAGTCCTGATACCCAATCTAAGGTTCTTCAGTAAAACTCGCTCTTTTTAGTTTAGTCAGAATTAGAATGTGATTTCGGTGTATTCACAGAGTAATAATTGTCTCTTTTTACCCATAGTTTAAGCAAACTTAGAATTCCTGAAATGAGGGGTACTTTCTCCATCTCCCTCTGTGTCTTTCTGTCTCTCTCTGGCAAGCACACATGCCCTATGGCTTTTTTTTTTTCCCCAAAAAGGTTATCAGTAATTACATTACATAAAATGGCATTGGAATTGGTGTTTCTTTATTCAACAAATTTTCATTGGATACTTGATTTGTGATCTAGAGGTGGTGAAAATAAAAACCTGTTCTTACAGAACCCTGTAAGAACCACTGTTCGCTTCTTAAAAATTAACCAGAGGGGCCAGCATGTTTGTTTTCTGATTCCACTTTTGGTATCCCTAGTATATTAAATCCCAGAGAAAGTTTAAAGCAATTATGTTGCATCATAGAAGTTAATCTGGAATTAATTCTTTTTTTTTTTTTAACCTTTTCTCTCAATAACTGTGTTCAGGGGGAAAGAACGTTGACTTTATTCCAGTGCTTTGAAGTATATGATCCTCTTCAAACAACTGTCGGGTTGTTGGAAAAATCATGATGCATCTTACATAGAAAAAATACTTTATGACTTTTCCGACAACCCAGTAGTATCATATGGTCATAGATAGCAACAATTCAGCTAGTCAACTGCAAAACTGACGAGCTTCTTTCCTTATCTCACGTAGGAGGAGAAGGAGACAGACCTTCTCTCACACTGTACAGCTGTGGAGGGGAAGGGATTGTCTTCCAGCATAATCCCTGGAAGCTGAGTGGAGAGGCCTTTGACATCAACGCACTCATCAGGGATACTAATTCAATCAAAGTGAGTTCTGTGATCTGAAGTCTTTGATCTCTCTATCATGGGTTCCTCTGTGTTTCCTATTTTGCATAATAAATGTAACTTTTAGAGAGGTCTGTTATATTAAGTCAGATTTCTTAGATGTTTTTATAAGGCTATAAGTGAGGCTGGGTTATAGCATATACCTTACAAGTCTCTATCCTTGAGTAAAACAAAGAACTTAACCAAAAACAAACAAACAAGATCATCTCAGTTGCAGTAGTGGTATAAAGTAAACTTGCCAACATTTGGTATAAAGCATTTTTTTCATGCCAACCACTTCAACAAAAGTGATACCATGGTAGAAATAACTTTACAGTGCATCTCTAAAGTCTTTTCCCCAAGAAAGAAGTGTCCAGTGCCTTAACCACCACACCACCTGCTGGTCCCTAGAATTTCTGTGTCTGTCAAAGAACCTGTGGGTGTGTATGAGGTTGAAAAGGACTAGAGAGACAAGTCGGAAGCGAAGAGGGCCCAGGCAGCCTCAGGAAACACCAACATCTAGTGGGAGGGGAAAAATGATTTTGGAGCAGAAACTTGAGAGGGATAAGAAGAAAACAAAGGAGGTGTTTATCATTTTGTTAGACAACCTGACCCACGTATTGTCAAAGCCATGGGCACGTTTCATTCTTAATTGCACGTTAAGATCATTTTAATGTAAGTTTACTTCCAGGGTTGAGCATTAGAGACATTTACTGCTTACTGGCCTCTTTCTTTGTTCCAGTTAGAGAATTAGAATACTTGCTTTTAGTAATTCTTTGACTAATTATGCAGATTATTTATAAGAGTGATTCTTGTTAATTAGAACATTTTCAAACTCTAGAGATTTTTTTTCTCATGCTGTCATCGCTGATTTGTAAGATGTGCGGAACGAGTAATGTTTGTAGTCAAGATTGGTCTGTTTTGCTTTACAGTATAAACTGCCAGTACACACAGAGATCAGCTGGAAAGCAGATGGCAAAATCATGGCTCTTGGCAATGAAGATGGGTATGTATTTTTCCTTTAAAAATTAAAAAAACAGCTTTGTAATTGCATATGTATTTGATAACAAGCTGGCTAATGCCATCTGCAGTGTTAATTGGGAAAGCTCAGTTGCATTTAGTATTCTGATTTATGCTTGATATCCTTGACAGATTCAAGAGCTCTGTATATATTTGAGAACTACAGAAGTACTTGAAGGTTTTCATTGAGAAGGATATTTGGCTACACTGTGTTTGGGTCATTGTATGCCTTATCTCCTACACTGAGCTGCCTAAATCACACTCCACTTTTTAGAATAAGCCTAAGCAGATGTGCTTTTTAGGTATATGTCCTGTCCAGTGTTGGTCATACTAGCATGGTCCTAATTCAGCCATTGGTTCAGTAAGTCTTTCAGCTTCTCCCTAGCACTGTTTATTGTGAGTGCCTGATAAGTATAACTTTCAAAAGATTGCTACAGTTTGTTTTGTTTGTTTGTTTTCAAGAATTATTTAATTTTGGGGCCAGCAGATGTTAATAGCAGTTACATCTCCAGGCTTCAGCGTGGCCAACTATGGTTCGAGTCCTGGATCTGATGGCTTGAAACTCACACTGGACACGTGTGCCTGCGTGCCCAACATCCTGGGAGAATGAGGAAGAGGGATTGTGGCGTGGTTATCCTCCCTGGGGGGTGATTTCTCACTTTCCCTCTCATTGTGTCTGTCTTTCTCTCTCTCCAGCAAGCACACTTGCCCTAAGGCCAAAACTTCTCAAAAAAAAATTATTTAATTTTGTTATTATTATTATTTTAATTTGCCATAGGATACATGCACTTACGAGAGAGAAAGCAAGCTGCCAAATCTGAGACTCAAACCGCTATTGGCCATGTGGGAGGCCGGCTCCTTTACCACCACACTACCTGTTGCCCCATGATTGCTAGAATTCTTTTTCTTTTTTGTTTTAAGAATTATTTTATTGGGGGACGAGCAGTTGGCGTAATGGCTACATTGCTGGACTCCCCTGTAGTCGGCCGTCGGCCATGGTTCGGGTCCCGTACCTGGTGGCTTAAACTCATGCCGGCTGCGTGTGCATGTGTGCCCAAGATCCTGAGAGAAGAATGGAGGAGAAGGGATTGCGACATGGCCATCCCCTCCAGGGGGGATTTCTTATTTCTGTCTATCTGTTTCGCTGGCAAGTGCATGTGCCCTGTAGCAAAAATCTCTCCAAAAAAAAAAAGAATTATATTATTGGGGCTGGCAGGTGGTGTAGTGGTTAAGGCATTGGACTCCCACATGGTCAACCCTGGTTCGAGTCCCAGACCAGGGTTTTCCTACTTTCCCTTTCTCTTATCAAGTTAAATAATGATGATGATGATAATAAATGAAATAAAATATTTTTTAGAAAAGAATTATTTTGTTTATTTATTTATTTACATACTTTAATTTGACTAGAGAGGGACAGAGGGAGAGAGAGGGAAAGTGAGAGCAAGCCAGCAGGTCTGGGACTCACACCACGGTCAAAAACAACCTTTTATACCTGGTGCTTTGTGACCATGCAGTTATCCAAGCTAGCCCCATAGCCTAGTAGTTAAGGGAAGTATATCCCGCATGGCCAACTGCAGTTTGACTCTTCCCTAGCAGCTTGAAAAATATGTCCAATTATGTGCGTGTGCATGTCCAAAATCCTGACAGGATGAAAAAAAAATAGGGAAAAAAGTGTGGTATTAACTTCACTTCATGAAGGGAGGAGAGGGAGGTTTTTTTCTCCTGTCTTTTTCGACCTCTGTCGAGTGACATACCTTTTAGCAGTTTTAAAAGGAAAAAAAAAGGGACCAGCAAATTGCGTAATGGTTATATCGCTAAACTCCTGGTAGTCAACCGTGGGTCAAGTCCCAGATCTGGTAACCTAAAAACTCATGTGTGTGTGTGTGTGTGTGTGTGTGTGTGTGTCCAAGATCCTGAGAGGAGAATGGAGGAGAAGGGATTGTGGTGTGGCCATCGCCCCGAAGAGTGATTTATCACTTTCTATCTCTCTGTCTTTGCGTACACACCCTATAGGAAAAGTTTCTCTAAAAGAAAAAAAGACTTATCCTAGCTCACCTTTCCTTAACGAATGGAATGAGGCAATGTCTGTTTGCATCAGACTGTATTTTGATCATCCACCCTCCTTGTCTTGGTGTGCTTCTTCTTCCAGATCAATAGAAATATTTCAAGTTCCCAACTTAAAATTGATCTGCACCGTCCAGCAGCATCACAAGCTCGTGAATACCATTAGCTGGCACCATGAGCACGGCAGCCAGCCAGAGCTGAGCTGTCTGATGGCCTCTGGCTCCAACAACGCTGTCATCTACGTGCACAACCTGAAGACTGTCATAGGTATCTTCGCTCACTTTCGTACTGGGGATGTCATGTGTTCAGTGCTATTCCTTCTCATCTTTGTGCTTTTTTACTTTTATTTTTGGCATTAAAAATTAATGTTCCTGTTTTTCAGCTCTCAAAAGCTATATATTCAGCTTACTTTAAGATTCTTTCAAACATGAGAAAAATATTAACTTAGAAATTTTCATCCTAATCCCATCCTTCAATAATAACCAATTTTGGGACCAGCAGTTGGCGTGATGGCTATGTCGCTTAACTCCCATGTAGTTGACCGCGGTTCGAGTCCCGGACCTGGTGGCTTAAACTCATTGCCAGGCACATGTACTGGTGAGCCCAAGATTCCAAGAGGAGAATGGAGGAGAAGGGATTGTGGCATAGCCACCCCTCCTGAGGGGTGAATTCTCACTTTCTGTCTCTGTTTCTCTCTTTCTGGCGAGCACACACACCCTATAGCAAAAACCTCTCCAAAAAAAAAATTAGTTTGTCTAATTATTCCTTTAGGAATCTTAGACTTCTTTTAACGCCCTTATGTACCAAAGAGCACCATAGTAGATGTTCAGAAAAGCCTTTTTTGTTTGTTTGTTTAATTCTAGCAGTGGCTCTTCTGAGTTAAAAACAATATAGAAAAGCACTACGGTGTAGGAATGTTTTTCTTATGGTAAATAGTAGGTAGTGTATAACCGTTGACCATATGTTTAAAAACTAATCCTGGTCCTTATGCTTATTACTGAGATTCTAAATTTATCACCTACTTTTGCAAATGGAATTGATTCCCTAAAGCAGTGCAGAGAGCTTTGTTCACCGTAACATTTACCATTGTAGTTTGTTTCTTATTTTTTTTAGTTACTAAATAGTAGAAAAAGGTAGAAAACGGCCAGAATCAAATTCATTGTATTTTTACCTTTTTATTTTGAAGTAGTTCTGATTTAGAGGAAAGTTGCAAGAATAATACAAAGAATCCCCATATATCCTTTCCCAGATTCAGCAGTATGTAACGGTTTGTCACATTTGCTTTTTCTGGGTGCTCGTATGTGCTCACGTAAATATTTTTTACAAGCTGTTGGACATTGAATGTCCTCTTATATCCCTTAATATTGTATATCTTCATAAAGTACAGTAAAGATAGTTCCTTATACAACCTTAAGTTCATCATCAACCAAAGTTAACATACAATAGTTGAATATACCATCGTGTCTAGTTTTGTCAGTTGGTACGATAGCATCCTTTATAGGAACTTATTTTCCTGCATCACGGGATTCAGTCCAACATCACCTATTTGCATTTTGTCATCGTGTCTCTGTCATCTCCTTCCATCTAAAAGTTTCTCAGCCTTTATAAAAATCTTACATGAACTAACTAGGTAACTAACTAGCCAACTTACCAATTAGCTATCTAATGATCTAACTTACTAACTAAATATTAAATATCTAACTGAACTAGATATATTGATAATCCGTTTAGCTAACCAGCAAGATAACTGAACAGCTAACCAACTAGTTAATCAGTTATCTGTCCAATTGTCCAGCTAGCTTAACTAAGAAACTATTCAGCTAACTAACCCACAAGTTAACCAACTAGGTCATTGACTAGCTACATAATTACCTAACTGAAGCTAGTTAACTCACCAGGTAGCTAGTTGGCAAACTAGTTGGTTAACCGGTAGCTAGTTGTTAGTTAACTAAATAGCTACCTAGATAATTAGCTAACAACCCCAAAATACCAACAAGATGGGGAAATGAAGGAAGGATTGCAGCATGACCACACCCCATTGACAGGTGCTTTATCTCTCTGTCTCTCATCTCTCTGGTGAATGGACACATTCTCTGGCAATTTAAAAGAAAAGGCAAAACAAGACAGCACATGGTAGAATCAGGGCTCTTGCCATGTTAACATCTTCCTGTGTATCCTTTTCTGTGTGTTCATTTTGGTTTTTTGTTGCTATTGCTGGTAGTGGTGATGCCTTCCTCTTGCCTTTTAGAGAGCAGTCCTGAGTCTCCAGTGACCATTACGGAGCCTTACCGGACCCTGTCAGGGCACACAGCCAAGATCACCAGTCTGGCATGGAGCCCACACCATGATGGAAGGCTGGTCTCTGCTTCCTACGATGGTACAGCCCAGGTACTGTTGCGTCCTTGACCATGGGCTCTTCACTGGGTACTCTAACTTACTCTTTCCTCTTAGCCCCCATTTGTGGGCGCGTTTCCCTTCCCCATCATTGTCCTCTGCTCAGAGGAATTGTCTGGGCTCTAGAAGATATTGTAGATGCATTCTGTTTAACTGGGCCTTTATTAGGCTATGACTGGGATTTTTACATAAAAGAAAGAGAGAAAGTATTGCTAGGAATTAGCTAAATTGTGACTTTTTACAGTTTTCATTCTGTCTGCCTGCCAGTGTGGTAGACTAAATTGATATTAAAAGCACTCCTCCTGTTTAGACCCAGCGATTCCCTGGGGCTCAGGGAGGGCATCTTACTACAGAGAGACAAGAGGGTGCTTTTCGAGGTAACAGGAATATTTTACATCTTGATAGTAGCGGTAGTGAGTTACTTGACTATGTACATTTGTCAAAACCCATTGAAGTGTTCAATATTGAGCAGTGTTTGAATGGTAACCAATTACAGGAACAATTTTTAATATCAAATGTGTAAGTCAAAAGTAACGTATTTTTAATAACAAATTTGTAAGTAAAAGGCAGGGGGAGCAGGGCAAGTGCCAAGCCAGAGCAGTGAGGCAGAGTCTCCGGTAACAGCACTGGAGCAGACCGTGGGGACTGGGGTCCGACATTCCTGATGGGTCTATCTCAGTGTTGTGTTGTGAGCTGTCTATACAGTACTGTAGCTTTCTGTGAAGTAGAGATCAGAATAATTCAGGAAGTAGCAAAGAAATTGTTCATTTGCCCTGAGATTTAGGGACAAAAGAATGACCTGTGAGAAATTACCCTATGTGTTAAATTTGGTATGGGCTTTTTTTTTTTTTTTTTTTTTAATGAGATTTTTGCTATAAGGAGTGTGCACTCGCCAGACAGACAGAGAGAGACATAGAGACAGAAAGTGAGAAATCACCCCCCAAGGGGGATGGTCACACCGCAGTCCCTTATCCTCCATTCCCCTCTTGGGATCCTGGGCATGCACGCACACACGCCTGGCGTGAGTTTTAAGCCACTGGGTCTGGGATGTGAACTGCGGTCGACTAC